AATTTCTTGATCATAGCCATTCTTTTTGGAGTGAGATGGAATCTCAGTTTTTTAATTTGCATCTCTCAAGTGACAACTGATACTGAATATTTTTTCATATATTTATTTGCCACTTGTATTTCTTTATCTGAGAAGTGTTTAATTACCTCAGATGCTCATTTTTGGATTGGGTCTTTGCATTTGGGGATCTGATTTTTAAAATGTTTTTGTATGTTCTAGATATAAGTAGTTTGTCTGAGAGACAATTGGCTCAACGTTTTTTCCACTCTGAGTTGTATTTTCACTCTGTTGGTGATTTCTTTTGTTGTGCAAAAACTTTTTAATAACATGAGATCCCAGTTGTTGATTCTTTGAAATATTTCCCATGCAGTTTGGGTTTTGTTTATAAAGTCTCTGCCTACACCTATGTCTTCAAGATTTCTACCTTCCCTTTCCAGTAGATTTAGTGTTTCTGTTTCACTATTCAGATCTTTGACCCATTTATTTTTAGTTTGGTGCATGGTGATAGACTTGGGTCTAGCTGTAGTCTTCAGCATGTGGAGAGTCAGCTTTTCTAGCACCATTTGTTAAGGAAGCTATCTTTCTTCCAGTGACTCTGTTGGGCCCCTTTGTTGAAGATGAAGAGGCTGAGTGTGTTTGTAGTTGTGTCCATGTAAGTAAATGTATTCCACTGATCCCCTGTTTTTTTCCACTACCATGCTGTTTTTATCACAGTAGTTTTGTGGTGTAATTTCAAGTGAAGGATTGTGGTGCCCCCTGCCTTAACTTTGTTGCCCAGAATTGCTTTTGTTATTCTAAGTCTCTTCTGTTTCCAAATGAATTTAGAAATTTTTTTTTGTTCCTGCGAGGCATGCTGATGATTATTTTGATCATTAAATCTGTCTAATAGTTTTTGAAGTATGTCTATTTTTACTATGTTGGTTCTGGCTATCCATGAACAAGGGATCTCTTTCCATTTTCTGATATTCTCTTTGATCTTTTTTTAGAGTATAATTTTCAGTGTATAGATATTTTATTTCCTTTATAAGATTGATTCCTAAGAATTTCATTTTTTTGAACGGTATTGTGAAGGATGTGGTTTCCCTAATTTCTCTTTCAGTGAACAGTTTTTTTGTGTACAGGAATGCTATTGATTTTTGAGTGTTGACTTTGTATCCAGCTACACTGCTGAATTTGGTTGTTAAATCTATAAGTTTTTCTGGTGGAATTTTTGAGGTCTTATGCGTAGAGTACCATGTCATCTGCAAATAAAAATAACCTAACATCTTCTTTTCCTATTCTTATTCTTTTATTCCTGTCTTTTGTGTAATTACTCTGGCTAGTGTATCCAGACGTATATTAAATAATAGTGGTCAGAGTGGACATGTTGTCTTGTTTCTGATTTTGAAATGTAAGCTTTAACTTTTGACCCTGTAGTATGATGTTAGCTATTGATTTGTCATAGATGGCTTTTATCAACTTCAGATGAAGACCATCTATTCCAATTTTCTGCAGGGTTTTTTTTGTTTATCATGAAAGGGTGTTGGACTTTGTCTGCATTTACTTAAAGATGCCTTATTGCTAATACGTGTTCTATTTTGGAGAACATCCCATATACAGCTGAGAAGAATGTGTATTTTGGTGTTATGGGGTAGAACACTCTATAGATATGTAAGTCCATATATTCACAGGTTTGGTTTAATTTTGATATTTACTTGTTGAATTTTTGCCTACTTAATCTACTTGTGAGAGTGGGGTATTAAGGTCCCCATAACAATTCTTTTAGTGCTTGATTTTTAATGCCTATTTTGTTTTATGTAGTTGAGTGTACTGTTATTTGGTGCATATATATGTTTATGATTGTTATGTTTTCTTTTTGCAGTTCTCCCTTAACAAGTATAGTAACCTGTCTGTCTCTTTTGATCAGCTTTGGCTTGATGTTCATATTGCCTGCAAATAGAATAGCTAGCTACCCCTGCTTTTCATCTGCGTTCCAGTGGCATGGAATATTGTTTGCCATCCTTTGACTTTCAGTCCAGGAATTTATTTTTGAGTTAAATGTTTGTTGATTGCAGTATATTTTTTGATCTTGTTCCTTGATCCATTCTGCCAGTCTGTTTCTTTTATTTGTGAGTTAAGATCATTTACATTGATGGCTATAAATGGTGTGTTGGGTTATCTTTTTCATGTTACTTTCCTGCTGTGGTTCCATCTTTTTAATTCTTACCTTAACTGGTAGCTTCTTTCTATTGGTGGTCTTGTTACTGTGGTCTTTATTTTTTTCTTCTAATTATCGTTCAGCACATTATTCAGAGCTGATTTATGGTTCATGAATTTGTTCAGTGGTTCTTAGTCCCTGAAGCATCTTATTCCTCCATCTGTTTTGAAAGGTTTTTGCAGGGCGTATCAATCTGGGTTTAAGGTTTGTTTTCTTTTAGGCTTGAAATCCCTCACTCCAGGCTCTCCTTGATTAGAAGGTTTGTGTTGAGAAGTCTGTTTTGATTCTGATGTACTTTCTTTTATAGATGATTTGTTTCTTTTCTGTAGCCACTTTTAATATTCTGTTCTTGTGCTGAATTTCTGGAATCTTGACTATTATATGCCCTGATGTAGATTCCTTTTAGTGATGGGTACTTAGAGTTCTTTGTGCTTCATTTATTTGTATGTCAAATTCTTTATCCATGTTTGGAATGTTTTCTGCCATTCTTTATTTCAAGTTTTTTTAAATGGCTTTTTTGCTGTCTCCAGCTTTCTCATTTACTCCAATCAATCTTACATTGTTCTTCCTTGCTTCATCTTATAGCTGTTGGACTGGTTTTTCATGCTTTCTTGCTTTTTTAATGATATCTTTCTTTTCAAGGTCACTAGCTGCAATCCTGTCCTCTAGATCTGATATTCTATCCTGTCCTTCTTTCACTCTGTTGTACATACTTTCAACGAAGTTTTAAATCTGGATTTCTGTTTGGATCTGTTTCATGGATTCAATCTCTTTCCTGTATTGGGCATTCATGATTTCCATTGTTTTCTGAACCCTTGTTTCACTCCTGTTACTATCATTTCAGAAAGTTCCAGTCGTTGGCTTCAAATTTCCTCCATCTCACTGTGCTCTGGATTTGTCCTGGGTGGGTTGTGGATCTGGTGTTGCATTTTTTCCTGTGTCTTCTCATCTTTTGGTTTCTGTTTTCTATTTTGTATTTTATTTTGTTTTCTGTGTTGATGCTTGCAGATTTTTTATGTAGGTGGCTTTCTCCCTAGCATTGAGGTTTCTCTAGGAACAATCTGTTCCTCAGGGACGTCTTCTAGATATAAGTGGTTCTTGGTTTTTGTGTCTATCTTAAGAACCTACCTTCCTAACATATTAAGAATGAGAAGTTGTTATGTATTTGGCTTAGTACCCAGTGCTTTGGTAGTGTACGATGGTAATGGTTGTGACCCATACAATTTTACAGTGTGGTCACACAAGGGGAAAAGCTGATTCTAGAAGGGAAGCCATCATGGCTAACGTAGTACAGCGAACAGTATCTATAGTCTGAAGCACACACTGGCTACTGGCAAACTGTGCTGTTAATCTGATACCTTTAACTATGGGAGCAAATCTACAGTCATGTAGCAGAATCCAGTTTATACTAGAAACTTGTATTCAATGATTCTCCCCTTAGTGGACTGTTTTTACCCCATTGTGGGGGAGGAGGCATTTTTAAGAGGGATAGAGCCCATGATAGAGGAGGAGGTAAATATAGCAGGAGCAAGGCTGAAGGGCAGAGCTGATCACCCAGGCTTTGGGAAACTGGAGGACACACACAGGAGGGAAGAATGAAGGAGAAAGCAAAGGAGTATTTAAGCAAGCCAGAAAGAGAAGAGGCAATGTTTGCTCACACGAATGTGTCGTAAAATCAAGTGAGATAGTCGATGAAAGAAAAGATTAATAGAAAAAAACTAAAAGTAAAGTGAATAAATCTAAGTCATGAAACAAGAAAAGGGAGAAAAAACAAAATCCAAAAATAAGCATAAAAACCAAAATGAAATGAAACAAAACCTTCCACCCCCAAACCAACCAACCAACCAAATAAAAACAAAAATAAATAAACAAAAAAACCCCAAGCATACAGGAAAAAGAAAGCCAATCAAACAAACAGAGAAAAATAAAAATAGTAATTTCCTCTGGTGTCTACACTTCTGTGGTTGGTCCAAGTCAGATTCCGTAATGTGCTGAATAATCTAGCCAAGTTTGCAGTGGAATTTGTGCTGACAATGGGCTGATGTCGGCCTCTGGATGTGGGTGCTGGCACTGGTCTTCTGGAGTTCTCCCTGAGCCCTTAGATTAAGAGAAAAAAATCACACCGCCACCTGCTCGCTTGTATTCCACATGTCTATACTGAAGCATGAGCTGGTTCACCTCATTTACCAACTGCTGGTTCTCACTCTGCTGTTTTTGATTTTTCCATGCTGCTGGTCCTGCCTGCCCATCTAATGTGCTCCTGCCAGGGCTCTGATGTGTTACTCTAGGCTCCTGCCTGGGTTAGGCTGGTGTGAGCACCACCTCTGGGTCCTTGGTGGATCACTGGGGATTCCTGCTTGGGCTGGTCTGGCCATGTGCACCCCTGCCAGGGCCTTGGTGGGTTGCTGGGAGTTCCTGCCTGGGTCATGCTGGTATGTGTGCCAGACTTTCCTAGTTATGTGTGTCTTTTCAGAATTCTGGATGATTCTGACACTAAGGATGTGGACCACTGGTGTCATTTGTCTCTGAAAATGGCTGTGTCTTGCCCAGAATAACTGAACTGTTAAAACAAATAAAATCCATTATCTCATTTCCTTCTCCAAGAGCAGAGATCCCAAGTAAGGTCATGCATACAAAATACCCAGTATGGGACCCAACACTTAGTACCTGTTATCTCGTTAGGGTTGGGGGGGGGGGAATCACTCCAACATGCATATTTGGGGACAGCATCTTTGGAGACAGCTGGGCTTATCAAGGGGGAGAACCAGGGCAGACAGGTCAGGGAAATGAGGTAATTGTTGATGTCACAATCCCCTCTTTTATTCTGGATACCTGGCTCTTGAACCACCTCAGGGCACAGCAAAAGGATGATGGATGCAGTAAACAGAAGACCAAGGGGGACATGGGATTGAGAACCCTGGGGACTGTAGGAGGCTAGAATAAACACCATGCAGCAGAGCAGGATGGATAACCAAAGAAAGATGGGCAATCACAGAAAACTCACAGGTAATTGCTTGGGTGACACCTTTCTCATGTCTGGGTTTCCAGAGTGGGAGGATCAGGGAGAATTTAGAAAGGCACACACACCACTCTGAGGAGGGCCCACCCTTCCGGGGACATGCCCTTTGCTCCTTAAAGGCTCCCAAGTCCTCAGGATTCCTTGCCTTCAGTGGTTCCCCATCAGGTCACCCCTGAAACTTAGTAAAACATGCTGATGTTCAAGCCTTGCCTCATCCCCAGAATTCTGCTTTACTCTGTCTGCAGAGAGCCGGGGTTTGGATATATACCTATAAAAAGGTTCAAGCGGTTTTACTGTGTAGTCAGGGCTCACAACTCTACTGAAACAAGAAATCAAAACAAAACACACAGACATATACACGAGTGTTTCCTTCAGAGGGGTGGAGGTGAGGCACTTGTGTGTTGATGTCCCCCACAGATGTATGACCAAATCTGAGAGAGCTCGGGACCAAAAAGTACATTCAGTAAGACTGACATACACCTTTATGATTAAGAATCTATAAGGAAGAAGATAATTAAGAGCTACACAAAAAAGAGATTTTTTTACAAAGTAATAATTAATATGACATTGCTTCTTTAAAAATAATTCAGAATACATAAAAAGACATACGTAAGTAAAATTTTAAAATAGTAAGAGATCTTAGGTACCCTAGTATGGATTGGGATAAGAGAAAGAGGAAAGCAGTTAAGAGATGCATGTGGGAAGGCTGTGTCCTCTTCCTAGGGCTTGGTGAAGGCTGACCCAGTATCCAGGCATCTGCTGCAGGCAGTGTTCCCTGGCCTCATGCTGGCCATGATAGTAGCTTTGGCTTTGTACTTGCTGCAGTGTGAAAGAAGTGGGTGACCTCTATTAAGATCGTGGGGAACCAGAGCTCCTGGGTGCAAACTCAGGGCCTGCCACTCGTCTGGGAAGATGTTCACTGACTGTCTTGGGTCAGAAAGCAAGTCCTGCACAGCTGATCTTCAGGTCCCCTTCCCTGACTGGATCTCCTCTCAGGGAAGTCTTCTAACTGCAGGATACAGAGTGGGCTTTTTTCTCAAATGCAAAACCTTCATGCAGGGTGAAACCTGCATCTGCCCTTTGGTAGAGCAATTCTAAGATCTTTATTTCCTCGTGGCACTGGTAAGGGTCTGGAGGCCTCATGTGGAGCTCTGTGAGCTGACCTCACAATGGATGGCCCTGGAGTTCTGTAGTGGTCAGCCTCGTTGGGACTAACATACCTGACAAAAACAACTTAGAGGTAGAAAAGTTTATTTCGGCTCTCAGAATCAGGGTGTTTAGTCCATAGTGGGCTGGTTCTAAGGCAGAAATATCATGGTGGAAGGGGATGCCAGGCGAAAGCTGCTTAATTTATGGCAGCCTATGGAAGCTGAGAGCCAGGAGGAGATAACAACCTCCAAAGACAACATCTTCGGTGACCCAATTCCTCCAGCCGGGCCCCACTTTCTATCAAGCTGTTAGCGTCATAGGATTCATCCACTGATGACTGTAATTCCCCCATGATCCAATCATCTTCCCAGAAGTTTCTTAAGGGTTCCCTACTCATCTCCCCTAGCCAAAGTGAGGGCCCTTTGGCTGCCAGATAGGAATGGATTACTACGCGCGTGTGTGTGTTTCTCTGTGTATGAATTGTATGTTATTGTATGTCATTGTGTTTGTGTCCAAGTATGTATACATGTGTATCTATATATGTATATGGAGGTTTCTTTGTGTGCATGTGTGTTGGTATCTGTATATTTCTATCTGTGTATCAGTTCATGTGTCTGTATATCTATGTATTTCTTCTTTAATTGTGTATCTGTGTGTATGTCAGGGTGTTGGTGTAACTGTGAGTGCCTACTCACACTTTCTAAGGTCCTTACTGACCGTGCTTTCTGCCACATGTTCCCGGCTGGCCCCTCTGGCCCACAGCTGTGGACAGGCCGTGAGGACGGACGCAGTGCCTTGGGGAGCTAGCAAAGATCAGCAGCTGGTACTGCTATTCCCTGATGGATTTTGGCAGAGAAAAGGAGAAAAATGGGGTCAAGCAAAGAATGTTCTAGAGAGGAGACTTGGGAATTTTGGAAAGGGAAAGAAGGAGGGGTGTGATGGAGGAGGACATTTGAGAAATGCTGGTGAGGGGGGCAGAGGGAGGGAACTGGAGAGGGGTGAGGAGCTACAGCCGAGGGCCCAGGAAAAGGGCACAGAAAATAGATGCTGGTGGTCATGGCTCTCCAGAACCTAATGGACCTTTCAATTTAGCTTACTAAGTCCAAGGCTCCAGTGTTGTCACTCAATGGTCAGCTCCCATAAGCACAGGAAGTGGACAGGAGCTCATGCATACACTCACATCCAATTCTTCTTTTGACTTTGGCCAGGGACCAGCTTAGCACAGGGGCCAGTCTCTGCCTTTGAATGGTTTCAGATCCATTTGGGTCACAGATACATGAGCCTCTTAAACCTGAAGATCTGTTTGCCCAGCAGTCTTCGGCCCTACCCAGCCCATCTCCATCCCATCCCCACCCATGTCCCCAAGCTGTGGACTCTCCACTAGAAAAAAGTGAGACCAGGAGAGGTCAGTAACTGGCTAAAGATCACAAAGCTAGCCACTGCTGGACCCACGTGTTCAAATTCTAGACTTCCACACTACATCGCAATGACATTGTTTCCTCTACACAGTCCAGTCCCGCTCTAATGCATGATCTTCAAATATGGCTTTGTAGGGGCTGGGGATTTAGCTCATCAGCATAAGCACCTGCCTTGCAAGCAGATAGTTGTGAGTTTGATCCCAGGTACCAATAAAAAGGAAAAAGACAAAAACAAACAAACAAACAAACAAAAACAAATATGGCTTTGAGCCCCTTCCACCTGCTGGACCTGCACTTTAGCTGAATCAAATTTCAACCAGCCTTTGAATCTCAACTCAGACTTTTCCAATAGCTACGGGCCACTGGCCAGACCCTTGCTCTGGACCCCTAAACCTTCTGCGGCTTCCCCAGTGCCATTTGTCCTCAGGCCACTCGTATGTCCCTGATGACAGAACAGTTAGGCAGGCAGGAAGGTGGACTTGGGAGAGGTGCTGAGAAGGAAGTATTTCAAGTTGGAGTGGCCAACACAGCATCTGGTGGCCTCTAGTAAAGGCCGTGCTGGGGAATCCCCTGCAGATATGGCAGCTGGAGGGCAGAGTCCCACCGGTGGCTGACAGAGGGTGGCGCTGTGTTGAGTGTCCCTGTAAGTCAAGGAGAAAGGAGAAAGCCCTGGCTAAGTTTCAGTGAATGCCTGGCTGAAATCAGATACCAGGAATGTGTCCCAGGTCAGGCCTGTTGCCTGGGAAATACTTAGCCTGCTTTGATTTTCAAATTTTATTGCTCATTTCTCAAATGTTTATTTTACCTGTGTAATTCTTAAGGTTTTTTTAGGAACTTGGGAAAGAATGATCCTGTTTTGGTTTTAGGTACTCATGGCCTTAGAGAGATGAGCAAACTTGCTAATCACCACCTAAAAGACAGTGATGGATGTCCAGATCTGGTTGGTTTTTTTGGTGGGTTCAGGCTACCCTGTGGTATATTCTCAGTCACTATAATCACATAAAGACCACCCTCCCACATCCTGTTTCCTCCTTGTTTTCCACATATCTGATCCCCCCACCCCTCCTTCCAGAGCTAAGGACTGATACTGAATAGAATCAGCCACCCTAATTCACACCCATACCCACACACCCTACCTGCGCAAGCAGCATTACAATTATGCATTCTGAGAGTGCCTGGATCCTAGGTGACGTCCAGCAATTCTAGAATATCTTCCATTTCCCACATTTTAGCCATTTTTGTTCTATTCCTGCTCACTACTACCCACTCCCTTCCCCTGTACTGTCTCAAAACTTCCTTCTAGCCTCAAAAGGAAACTTCTAAAAATTTGAAATACATATGAAATTTACAAAGCAAAGACAAACAGTTTACATCTTTAAGACTGATCACAGTCATTGGGTAACATTTATCCATACCTAAAAATAGGAAACTGCCAGCCCCTAAAGCATCCCTGGACCCCCCCATCCATCAGTATCCAACCTCTGAGTCTTAGAGGTAACTACAGTCACCCTCAGTATTTTGCAGGTTTGGTTCCAGGATCCCAGGGAAGATAAAGATAGGCTGACGCTCAAGACCCTTATATAAAAATGGCATAGTATTTGTATACAGTATATGCCTATCTTCCTGAATGCCTTCAATCATTTCTAGATTATTATAGTATCTACTACAATGTAGATAAGATGAAAGTGGGTAAGGAATGGTGATTCAAAAACATTTGCATATTCAGTACAGACACATTTTTTTTCCTGGAAATTTTCTTTTTTTTTTTTATTAAAGAGAAAAAAAAGAAAGGAAATAAAATTAAAAAAAAAAAAACAAAGCAGTAAAAGGGTACAAATACTACAGAATTCCAAGGAAAAAAATACAGTAAGATATCATTAGCTAATAGATTACAGTCATCTTTGAAATAGTTGCCCAAATTATAAAATTAAAGCATGTAAAGTGAACATTCATACAATGAGATTGCACACAATGCCGATCAATGATCCAACAAAAGTTCAGTAATATGGATTTCCATGCTACACACTCAAACATACATGCAGTTATATCCCTTAGACCATCTTCCTTTCCTCTCTTTTTAATAACAATTACACTTTTTGGGTTTTTTTACTCCCACAATTCTTATTATTTTTTGGAGAGAATAAAACCTAACATGGCTAAACAAAACAGAGTCGGTTAGAACAAAAGGATGGGCATGGTACATGATGTAAAAATAGAATATCAGGTGATCTAAAATGGTTACCATTGTGCCTCTTGCTATTTTTTAAAAAAGTTGCCTATATCGTCAGGTATGGTAGAATTGATCAAAACAGTACAGAACAAGACCAATAAGACCTACACTGGAGACCTTACAGGATTTCAAAAGAAGATAATAGTCAAACCATAATGGACGTCATAGTATATCTTATTGCCTTCAAAAT